TCTCTGGGGCCCACAGCCCACAATCATAACATTAAATGTTGTGAAGAACCTCTAACAAGCCTGGAATCTAGCAATCTGGCACAGGCAAGAAGCTTCTGCAAAAAAAAAAAAAAATGGAGAAAATTTCCAGTTAATCTCAGTGAGATTTTTCTTGCCTAGTTGAGGTGATTGTTTCAATTAATTGGTGTTTCAGGTAGATCCTGTGTAGATGCACCTTCCTTGTATCCCTCAAGCAACAGCAGCCAACACAGCTTTTCATCATCTTTACTTTATGGCCGAGGAAGCTCTTGAGGTTCTAACATTCATCTACTCCACAAAATGCTTCATTTATATGTGTCATAAAGAAGGAGATGGCCATCTGCACTTCCATTGACAGAGAGTCTGGGAAACAGGAAAGAACCTAAAAGATATGCATGGTACCCAAGAGAAGAGAAATGAGGCAAGATCCTCTGAACAGATGGGGAACACGGTGAGGGGTGGGAGGTGGGGGACCTGGGAAATAGAGAGGGGGAGAAGTGGAAGAGAGAGTAGGTCGTGGAGGAACAGGAAGGTTGACTGGGGGGGTAGGATAGGGGGAAGAGGGAATCATAGCTTAGAAGACAAATCAGGCACCAGAGTGACCTCTAGTGATCTAAAGGGATGACACTAATTGGAAAGCTAAGCAATAGTGGAGAGACCACCTTGAATGCCCATTCCTGATAGTGAACTTGATGTCTATAACCATCCGGGAGCCTTCATCCAGTGGCTGATGGAAGCAGAGGCAAACACCCGCAGCTAAACACTGAACTGAACCCAAGGAACCCAGTAACAGAGAGAGAGGAGCGATGAGCAAATTGGCAAAGAATGGGCTGGCAAAACCAGCAGAGACAGCTGATCTGAACAAGGAAGAGCTCTTGGACCCCAGACTGACAGCTGGGAGGCCAGCATGAGACCAATCCAGACCCCCTGAATGTGAGACTCAGGGAGGAGGCCTGGGCTACCTATTGGGTCCTGAGCAGTGGATCAGTGTTTATTCCTCGAATACTAACAGACATCGTGTGTCCATAACACAAAGAGAGATGCTTTCTCAGCCTGGACTCTTAGGGAGGTGCCTGGACCCTACCCTGAGTGAAATGATAGACTCTAGATATCCCCTGTGTGGAAGGAATTGGCAATAGGGTGGGAGGATGGGGTGGATGGTGGGGGGTGCGGGAGGAGGGGAGGGAGAGGGAACTGGGATTGACATGTAAAACAAGCTATTTAAAATTAAAATAAAAAATAAAATAAAAAACTTAAATAAAACATTTGTTTGCGAAACTGTGTCCTTATTTTGGAACAACTAGTTATAAACCTTTTTTGGGGTCTGAATGAGAATAATAGGCTTTTAGGTTAAAATCCAAGCATTTCCTCTTAAAGTGCCTTGTGCTTGATTTGATATGTTTAAACATATCCAATCTATTTGAATCTCTTCCTTTTTAAGGAGAGGCATGCCGGTTAACTTCCTCTGTCTCTGGCTTTCCAAACATGAATTAAAATGTGTAAAATGATTTGAGACTTGTGGTGAAAGGATGCTTTAGAGAGCTAACCCCCACAAGTTCTGCCTCAGGAACCTGCTTAAAGAAGCAGGAAACTTTGTGAACTGAACAAGCATTGTGGGTGGCCTGGCTTATGGCTAAGAGGAAATGAGAGAGATTTCGATTAAAGATGGGAGTTCACTCACAAAAATGGCATTATTTGTCCGTGTGTGTACATGTGTGTGAGCTCAGGCTGGATGGAGCAGGCAAGCAAAAAGAGAATGGAACTAAAATGTCACCATATACTGGAGAAGGAGTTTAGGGATAGCTTGGATGCTTTGGAGAAATTGCATTTTAGCTCATTTATACATCAGTAGTTTAAAATGACACAGAATTTGTCTACAATCAAAATTTGAAGATGGATTATAAATTTAAAGGCAACAGCATATTTTTTTCTAAGATAAAGAAAGTGGAGATTTTCTTTCTTGAGTATTTTAGTGGAAATCTTGTACAATTTATGGACAGTTGGTTTTAACAGAATTATCTGAAACGGCTGAATGATAAATTCTCTATTACTGGCTTGTGGAAGATAATTTACTATTTGATTTCTAGGTTTCCTTATAGTTCACTAATAATTGTATCACAGGTTAGAAGTGACAGGGTATTAAAGTAGTTCTGAAATTTACTATAACTTGCACACAATGAGATCAAATTTCATAAAAAAAGGAGATGGCCCATTCTTGTTGAACAGGTAGCTACTGATTCGATATATTCTGAGAACAACTGTTCCATCATCCAGACAGAGAAGAGCAATGTGTCACAGCAGTGTTGTTTCCTTTCAAAGGTGAGTGCGTCGGCGTATCACTAGTGCCGAACTAAGGGGCAACAGCTAGTCCTTACAGATCTGATCCAGGGCCTTCATGAGGGAAACCAATTTCTAGGATTTGGACTAGGATTTCTGATTAGCAATGTCGAGAGTCAGTGATGCTCTCTCGTAGCTGTTATGAGCACCCATAACATTTGCTGTCCATTTCCTTGAAAGCTGGTCTCATGTCTCCTATGGAGAACAGTCTTTGAATATCTTTTATCTGGTAGAAATTTATGTGAATAGACTATAGGATAAACTCTTTAGTGTTTCAGTAGTTAGTAATTTAGGATTTTTCTTTCTAGCTGTGAATTTTAATGTAATATGTATAATATTTAAGAAAATACCTATATCCAGGCATAAGTATGTGTGCACACACATATTTACTAAGTTATGTGGTCCATGAAATTGGATTATGTGTTGGTAGTCACAGCTCCACCTATAGCACCCCTGTATCTCAGTGTCAAAACAGAATTATACTCTGTGTGAACACAGACAGGCAGAAGGTATTAAAATCTGGAATCTTTCTCAAGGAAATGAAGCATTCAAGAGAGCTTTATTGTCGGGCGGCAGTGGTGCACACTTTTAATCCCATCACTGGGAGGCAGAGGCAGGCAGATCTCTGTGAGTTCGATGCCAGGCTGGACAGACAGCCTCTAAAACAATACAGAGAAACCCTGTCTTGTAAAAACCAGAGAGAGAGAGAGAGAGAGAGAGAGAGAGAGAGAGAGAGAGAGAGAGAGAGAGAGAGAGAGAGAGAGAGAGAGAGAGAGAGAGAGAGAGAGAGAGAGAGAGAGAGAGAGAGAGAGAGAGAGAGAGAGAGAGAGAGAGAGAGAGAGAGAGAGAGAGAGAGAGAGAGAGAGAGAGAGAGAGCGCTTTATTTACATGTAAGGGTACTTTAGCATGAACTTTCTAAGACATGGTCCTGAATGGTCTGGGTGAAGAGGTAAGTGTCTCCATGACTGTAATGTGTTCAGAAGTTTGATTTAGGATTTTGCACTGTATATTAAGTTTACTATTTTTGCTACAGGTATGCTTGGATTTTCCTTCTTTCTAAAATTTCACTTGTGTCATTTCTGCTTTAGTGTTTGGGATGGTAACTGCTGCAGATTGGAAGGAAGGGGGAACACATTAACATAGGGAAGATAGACTTGCAATTCTTGCAATTTTTGGATTGTTTTTTTCTCCATTTCTTGCAGTTTTTGGATTGTTTTTCCCTCTTTCTTTCTTTCTTGTGTGTTTTTTCTTCCATGTCTTTAAGTGATTTTCTCATGTCTTCTTTGAGGGCCTCTATCATTTTCATGAAGTTGTTTTTAACGTGTTTCTCATCTGCTTCTTCTGCCATGGGCTGTTCAGGCCTTGCCTGTGCAGATTCTCTAGTTTCCAGCTGTGTCATATTGGTTTTTCTGTTGGTGGGTGTGTTTTTATATTTTCTCCTTCCCATCATTTCTCCCTATGGGTGCAGAAGTGTCTCTTCCTCCCCTGGTGGGTGTCTGACCACGGTTCCTTTCCAGTGGGTGGGAGCAGTTCCAATAAGCTGGTGGCATGGATGGAGGCCGTCCTGGTATCAGGACCTTAGCAAACTCTGGGTAGGCTGGACCTTTGCCTCGCCTGTCCCGTGGGTGGAGAATGGAACTTGGAAGCTGGCAGTCTCAGAGCTGGCTGAATCCCGTCAGGATGGGATGCGCTGTGCACAGTCCTCAGGTCTCTGGTGGTTCTGTTCAGGCCATCGGAAAGCAGGCTGGAGACAGAGCCACACTTACCTCGCTTGTCCCGTGGGTGGAGAATGGGACTTGGAAGCTGACAGTCTTAGTGAGCTGAATCCCGTAGGGCTAAAGATAAGGTTTTAAGCATACTTCTGACTTCACTATTCACATTCCAATACAATCTCATGAGAAAGTTGTGCACTACGTTAAACCTGGACTTTTGGGCAGCTTCTGCTATCTCCCTAACTACTTAGGGTGAAGTGGCAAAGAACAATTTGAGTTTCAACAAAGCAGTCCTCAGTTTGGTCTGTAGTCACTGGCTGTAGCCGTTGATTTTCCTGTGTGTGTGAGTGTTTATGGCATGAAAGTGATGCCTTCACTAGAAGGTTATATTGCAGGAATTTACAAGGAGGTCATGATTTTGTTTATTAGCTTCTCTTTGCCAGCTGCTCCAATTGAATTGCTTCACTGAAGTTTGGGGTAAGATAATGGCGTCGGTAAAGAAGACAAACGTTAGAGACAGGTTATCTTCTAAACCTTATCTCCCAGTACTCCTTGCAATGGCTGTAAAATAGAGCTCTAAATTTAGAGGACAAGCTGCTACATTTAGTTCTTTTGCTCCTGAGCACCTGGTGCTGGGCAGAAGTCCGAAAGGGCTTGATTTAGGTACCTGGGCGCTAACGGATTTAAGCCTGGGATGCCTGGCTAGTGCCCACCTGGTGAACTCAGGTGAGTGAACCAGAATGCTGGGCTTAGGAGGATCGAAGTGTGCTTGAACAGGGGAGGTTAAACTCTGACCAGAGAGCACAGTTGACCCTAACGCTCTCTAGGTGTACAGAGTTCAAAGTGCGGACTCTTGGGCTCGCGCACCAGACTATTTCCTGACCTGGATTATGATGCAGGCCTGCGTAGGCGGGAGGGTGCCCCCTGGATACCACAGTGTGGTTTTTGGTCTGGAGAGGATAGTACAGTGCTATAGGAGCTGGGACGAGGGGGCTGGGCGCTTTCACTCCAGGGATGTGCCCCAGTCCTCGGAGTGTAGGGCTGCAGCCCCACACTCGCTGTTTCAGCTTTCATTGTTCCAAAAGACAGTGTGTGTTTTGGGCTTCAAAGGACAGAGTACGATAAGAGCTGGGACCAGGGGGCTGGGCGCTTACACTCCGGGGCTGTGCCCCAGTGTAGGGCTGCAGCCCCACACTCGCTATTTCAGCTTTTCCTGCTCTAGCTCTCCTGTACTCAGGTGTTGGAGTCAGGAGTGTGGGCACTTTCAGTGCGAGCACAGACCTGTCTGCAGAGATAGGGCTGTGGAGGGAGTCCCCGCTGCACTTGTGAGACCAAAGGTGCAATGATGGCTCTTGCTACACCACCCCAGTGGTGCCAGCCGGCCACTGGCGCCTTCCGGTTCTCAGAACCATGCTTATTAAGCCCGGGTGTGCTGCTGCCTGTCCTCTGCCCGTGGACTCAGCAATAGCAGAGCCCTGTACCTCTGCGGTGTGTGTCCAGCGGGGTTCGGAGCTGCTGCACGGGGTGAGTCCTGGGCACCGAAACCGCGGACATGGTGGGGCCTATGGTTGGCTGCTGGTTTTGTTGCCTCGAAGGCGGCCTGGGGATCTGGAAGCCAAGGTGGTTTTTCACAGGAGTCAGTTAGTTACACGTGGTTCTTCTGATTGCAGGAACCTGGAGTTTCTTGGTGATGAAACTTCTTAAGAGGATACCTAAGCTGGGGCCAGAGCTAAGATTCTAAATCTGCATTATTTTCTTATTATACTGATTGTGAGCCACCATGTAGGTGCTGGGAATTGAACTCAGGACCTCTGCAATACCAGCTAGTGTTCTTAGTCACTGAACTATGTGTACAGGCCCCCATAACTTTTAAAAAGGATTTTACAAGTATAAATTTCCCTGTTACACACCTTCTATAAGTTTTGTGCTATGCTTTTTTCAACTTACCTAAAAGTATTTTATTTGTATTACAAAAAAATCTATTTTGTATGCATGGGTGTTTTGTTCTTGCATGTATGTGTGTGCTCCACAAGTTTGCGGTGCCTGAAGATGCCAGAAGAGGGTGCCATGTTCCCCTGGAACTGGAATCATGGATAGTGGTGAGCCACCATGTGAATGCTGGGAACCAAAGCTGGGTCATCTGTCTTCAAGAATGACAAATGCTCTTAGCTGCTGAGCCACCTCTGCAGCCCTTCCTGTTTTAAGATGGCTAATTTTAACTCACTGTAATCAGAGAACATGCTTCTCAGGATTTGAATTTTTTAAATGAATTTTTAGTATTTTAAATTATGTGTGTGTATATGTGTGTGTCTGTGCACACGTGGGTTCCATGCCTGAGAAGGCCAGCAGAGGGCATGGGATCTCCCAGAGTTGGAGTTATGGGCAGGCGGTTAAGGAATGTCTGACATGGATTCTGGGAACTGAACTCTGATCCTCTGCAAGAGCAGCGAATATGCTCAGCTGCTCAGCCGTTTCTCTGGGCTGGGCCCTGTGATTTGATTATTTAAAAAACATTGTTTATTTTAGCTTGATGTGTAGATTTGTTCTGAAGAATCTTCTGTGTACATCTGAGAATGAATGTCTTTCTTCTGTTGTTGTGTAGTGTTTTGTTAGTATGAGAGCCTAACTGGTTTGTAGTATTGTTCCAGTGTTTTCTCTTCATGCTGACTCACTGAAGGTGAGATCTTGATATCCCTAACTACTGTTGATGAATGGTCTGCTTTTTCCTTTACTTCACCAGATTTACTTCATCTTGTGGTTCTCTTGTTGGGTAAAACCCTATGTCTTAAAGACTGAGGTAGCGTTTGCCATCATGTGTTTGTTTCCAGTAACAGTTTTTGTCTAAAAGTCTTTTTATCTGATATCAGAGTAGTCAATCCACTTGCTTATGATTAGTTAGTATCTGTGGCCTGGTGATAAAGATTCGAATAACCCACTGAGGGAGGATGGATTCAAGAAGAGGTAAAATACACAATCACCTGCAGGCCTTACTCAGTGAGGTGTGGAAGAACATTCAGAAGGAATGTGGATGGCCTGGTTATACATTAATGGTCTTTGGGGAGAGATGATGGAAATAGTTGACTTTACTGAATCTCTGTCCTTGTGATCCTGGAGGCAAGTCCTTTTTATCATTGCCTAGCAATATGATGCCACACTTTTGTGTCTCAGACCCAGGTGAGGAAGGGAGAGAAAGGATTGGGATGAAAGATTTTTCACCCTTTTCCGTGCCATTTTAAGGTTGGTGCTGTACCTTAAGAGGCTAACACTAAGTAAAGGAACTCTACATCAACCCCAGAGTATAGGCTGTGACCTCCTCTTGGATCCTGTCTGAAGACACAGATGTAAAAAGGAAAACAATGATACAAGAATTAAAAAGAAAAAGAACATAATATTGCATATGTTTATTTGGTAGAAGTTAATAAAGTGTAGATAGCAGCTTGGAAGGGGACCTTGTAGGTGATCTAGCTAAAAACAAATTTCATTGAGAGTAATGATCAAAGGCTTTGTTTGTTTGTTCATTTTGTCAGATCCCTAAGGGGAAGACTGTTCTGGAGGTTCTAGTGGGAATGTGGTGATGCCTGAAAGATTCAAACGCATCATTCCTAGGGTGGTTTTTCAATGACTAGTTTTTTTTTTGTTGGGCTCAAACTGCATTATTTTAACTCAAGATAAGAGACAGGAGGAAAGGGTTGAAATCCCTCTGTCAGTTTTTCCTGACCACGCCCCCTTCCCCACCCTACAAGCTGCAGATCTGTGTTTTTTCTCTGCAGGGAAACGTTTTGTCAAACCCAGTGCATATAGATAAATAATTAACTTGAAGTCAGGGTGAAGCAGCCAACCCAGGTCATTGATGATCTGTTGTAGTTGGCTTAAAAAACTCTTTTTGGGGTCTCCTACTCAGCTTCCAAATAAATACACAGAGATTCATTTTTACTTTATGAGTGCCTGGCCTTTGCTCAGCTTTTTCCTAGTCAGGTTTTCTAACTTAAATTATTCTGTTTCCACTTTACCCTGTTTTCTCTCTGGGCTTTTTTCCTTTCTTTATTCTGTATATCTTTCTTTCCTTCTTATTCCATTTTTGGCCCCTGGCATTGTCCTCCTCTTCTCCTTTTCTTACTGGATCATCTCTAGGTTCCTCTTCCTAGTTATTCTCTCTGCATGCCAGCTCTGCCTGTCCTTTCTCCTGCCTAGCTATTGGCATGTTCAACTCTTTATTAGACCAATCAGGTGTTTTAGGCAGGCAAAGTAACACAGCTTTACAGAGGTAAACAAATGCAGCAAAGAATAATGCAACACATCTTAAATATTACACAACATTCTTTCTTGACACTCTGCCCTTATCCTCCAACCCTCCTGGAGTTAAGCTCTGAGAATCTCCTCATAACTCCTGTTTGAAAATCATTGTGTTTCTCCACACATAGTCACTCAGTAAGAACAATTGTAAGTTGCCGGAAAATGTGGTTGGAGGCTCTCTGCTTCGTATTTTATGGCAGCCCATTTCATATTCACAGAGTTGACCATGCCACCTATACCTGTTTTTGTAACAGTACTGTGGAAGATGCATGCTAATAGGCTTAACTTCTTTGTCTTGAAGGTTGTGGCAGCAGTGCCTGAAGATAATACAGTAAGCATTGATCCTAGTCCTGCATCATTGGAATTGGTGACATGTTTGCTTATCTTTGGACTGCTTGCTGTTGTCTTATTACTTTGCAGAGTCTACAGATCAGTAAGTAATAACTCATAGTAAGAGAATGGTCATTCTGGGATTTTTTGTTTTTGCTTTTGAAATTTATTTTCTTTTATGTGTATGACTGTTTTGCATGTATGTATGTATGTATGTATGTATGTATGTATATCATGAGTTCCTGGTACAAAAGGAGGTGAGAAGAGGGCATGTTTTGATTCCCAGGTACTGGAGTTACTGATGATTGTGAGCTACAATATGGATGATAGGAATTGAATCTTGGTCCTCTACAGGGGTAGCAAGTGCTGTTAACCACTGAGTCATCTCAGTAACCCTCATTCTGTGTTTAGACTGAATGACTAATTGGAGAAACTTCCTATTTCAGTGAAATAAATCAGGTCATAGTGTTCTGGGTTACTCATTGTGATATGTAGTCATTAGAAACTGAATATAGATTTAGAGGGTTTTATATGTAGGAATACCATAGGGTAGTGCTAAACCACATCCTTCTTAGTTTCCCTTCTTCTTCTTTTTGGGGGGGTTTCTGTGTTTGTTTTTAACAGTATTAAAATGTGAGCAGATGTATCTACCTCCCAACATGGAGTAAAAAATACTACTTTATATTCAGTTAATAATCCCTGATTTCATTCCTATGGACTGCTGTGTAGAGGTACGCTTGTTCTGGATCCTGTATTGCTTATTCCTATATTTAATTTATTTATTTTAGGAGGGAGTCATGCCATATCCTTTTCTTTCTGAGACTTCTTTTTTAGATGTTGGCCCTTGTGCTCTGACTTCATTTCTAATTTCTTCATGGTTTTCTAGTTCCCTCCAGAAGGAGACCCTCTACTGGTGTTGCCCTTCCTTATCTTCGGTATACACACATCCCACTGTATCTCGTGTTTTCCAGTTTTTCTTCTGATTTTCTGTCTCTGTTTTCTAGGTGGTAGACGTCTGCTTGTTTGCTTCCCTTGCTCAATTTACTCTAGCCCCAGTGCTCTCCAGGGTGTATTTATCCCTTCTTCATTGAGAGCTTCTTTAAGAAGTAAAAGTCTAATGACTTTATTAGAGTCAGTCCAGGTCTAGAGCCCCTTGATATTTCATAGACTTTTATTTTGATTATTAACAATAGGAAACTTAATAAAAGGGGCTCCATAAAATACTTGTTTTAGGGCCCAATATATGTGTGGAAACATGGATTTAAGTGGAATTTAGCAGGTGACTTTGGTATGAGGCTGTTTCAGAGCCTTTAATATGATAACACACAGTGTAAATCTTCAATGGGAGATGTTACTATGTAGCATTGTTTTCAATGGAAATAGAATGCTTTTGGGTAAGTCATTCACTGTAAGGCCATAACAAGGTTGTTATCTTAAAACTTAGAATACACGTGATATAGATTTACTTGAAGGAATATTTGTTTTAATGTAATTTTGTTTAAAATTTGTTTCAGATTCAAAGCCGATTTTATGTGGGTAAGTAGTCATTTTGGTTTTAGATCTTGTGGTTGTATATAATTTAAAAACTGATCACACTTAGTCATAATAATCTTTCTTTTGCTTTCTCAGTAAGGGAGCAAAAACTGGCTCTCGAACTTTCTGTGCTACTGAAAGAGAAATGTAAACTACTTGAACAAGTGAGCCTTGCTCAGAAGGAAGTAAGACTTGTTTGAAAATAACATCCATCGTAGTGTGGCACTTACTGGTTCTCCATGGATGATTCTGTGTCATCAGAGCTGTGTCAGAGCAGAGCTCCCTGCTCCTCACCTTCATCACTTAGCCATTCTCTTTGCAGCCACCCTGGTGATGTATGGTGCTTGTCTTCCCTGACAGATAGTGAGAGGGAGCACCTTGATTTGCTCATTGCTCATTGGATATTTTGAAACTGCCTTTAGGGCTTTTTCACCTTAAAAACGACTTTATTATTATTAGTAATATTGTGTGTGTGTGTGTGTATTTGTGTCTTTGTGTGTGCATGCATGTACCAATAAGGCATGTTTGTGGTGATCATAGGACGTGGAAGAGTCAGTTTTCTCCTGTTACCATGTGGGTTCCTGGGATTGAACTCAGGTTATCAGTCTTGGCAGCAAGCTCCTCAACTACGGAGCCATCTCGCTGGCCCATTTCCACCCTTTTAAAGGCACTCATAATCTTTTTCCCTTTAGGTCATATACAAGAAGGGTTTTTGTTTTTAATATTTTCTATGTTATATAAGAGTTTTGTCAGATATGTGGATTGCAAATATCTTCTACTCTGTGGATTATATTTCTGTTTTGTTTGGTGTCTTAGAAGTTAGAGGTCTAGAATACAGTGTTAATGTGCTGTAATGTGTCATGAAATTTTCTCTCATCAAGGATATGAAGGAACTTTTGCTTGGTGTTGTGTAAACACTTTACTCACTGTTTTCATTTCGCCTTTGTATTAGCTTGCTAGGGCAGCTGTGACAAAATGCCACTTTAGCAGCAGGAGTGAATTTTCTTACAGTTCTGGATACGGGTCCATGGAGATGTAGGCAGACTTTGCTTCCTCTTTGGCCTGTCCCTTGACTTGTAGTTACCATTGTCTGCTTGTTGTATCTCACTCTGTCTTAATGCTCTCATGTTAGGATACCAGTCATGTTACTTTGGGTCATCTTAACAGCATCAGTTTAACCTAGTTATTTTTAAAGGCTTTGTGTCCAAATATCACATATTCTGAGTTGCTGAGACTTAAGAGACTTGGTTTCTCTGTGTATCCCTGAAGATCAGGCTGGTCTCCAACTCACAGATTTTGTCTTCCTTCCTGATATGGAACTTAAAGATTTTACCTTCCTTATTTGCCTTATTTAACATGTGATAAAAATGTCTGGTAGCCAGTTACTACACATTAATCTGTTGATTTGTTTAGGGAATATTAGATGACTCACTTCTGTGGATAAGCTTAAGTCACTCTTGCTGTTAGAGTTTTCATCCCCAGCAGACTTGGAACAACTTTGCTAGTGACAAGGGTAAATAACGTTCTGCCGTATGTTGCCCCGGCTCGTGGTTGCGGTGTTTGTGCTCAGCACAGTGGTTATATTGCAAAATTAAGCTCAGAAAATCCAAGGGAATTTTACCTTTGTGGAGATAGATTCTGTTTGCTGCTTTGGCATCTCTTTAGATACAATTTGAGACAAAATTTGTAGTTTTTACTCATGTGTTTCCTTGTTTCCTTCAGTATGAAGCATTAGAGTCATCTTTAAAGGAGGCCAACTTTGACAAGGTGTCAACAGACGCACAGAGTTTGGAGGTAAAAAAAGTATGATTTAAAATCTAGGGAAAAGATTCCCATCAAAAGTATGTTATTTTCTCAAAAATAATTATTTCAGAGAAATATAAAATATGTGTCTAGATCTTAAACCTTACAGAAAAAGTTAGAGGAAACGGAACATTTGTAGGTAGCATAAAACATTATAAAACAAGCCAATTTCAGTTCTTGTTATTAACTTGTTTTGGGGGATAGGAAATCAGTTTATCAGAATCTACAGATTTATAGAAAGTAATCCTTTAATCTGTACTCCTAGGAATGCATTGAAAAGACCATTCCTTTTTAGGATATTTTGCTCCAGGAAAAACACATAGAACTCTCACAAATTTAAGAATAATAGGAAATAAATAAACTGTGACCATATCACTTTTTTCTTACCGTGGTAGTAGGCATTAACTAAAATTAGACCAGAGGTTTTCATTGTAAAAAGTGGCATGGTGATAAATATTCAGTCCCTGTCTGTACTCTTGATCATGTCCAATTTTCAGTCAGTGACATGGTATCACTGAATGGAGAGTTTAAGAGAGATGGACAGTTAACTCTCCTGTTTCCGAGGACACAATGATTCATCTTAGCACACAGAATACAATGTGATGGAGTGCCTTGATACTGTTTGCAGATGGAAGGGTTGTAAAAAATGAATTGTGAGCCTGTATCGTAAGTAGAAGCAGCCTGCTCCTGCTAATGATAAAATAGAAAACAGATCTTATACCTTTGATTATGGTGTTCATTTCAGTGTGGCAGGTCTGTCATGTTATGTCCTCTGTAGGAAGTCTGTGTTTTATGATTGAGAATGCTCTTGTAGAACCCACAAGGAGTTTAGACTCCAATTACATTCCTGCTGTTATTTTAACGTTAGAGAAATGAACAAATGTATACAGTATTTATAAATTCATCTGATTTTTACCCTAACTAAAAATTCTTATGTCTGGCTTGTTAAAGTTAGCTTTCTATTTCAGGCAACCTATAAAAATCTAGAAAGAGATAAATCTCAATCTGGTGATGAACTACTAATTTTAGAGAAGAAACTAGAAGAGAGAACTAAGCATCATGAACAAGATGAATTGGTGAGTCCTGTGTATTCCAAGAGAATTGAGAATCTTACACATTAATACTATATTTATGAAAATATTCCATGTAAGCCAGCCATAGTGATGTAAACCTGTAATCCTAGCTCTTGAGAGGAGGTGGCAAGCGTTCAGCAAGAATGTGAGAGGACACCCTGTCTTTAAGATGCAAATAAAGGAAAATAAATAAATAAAACTCCAGAACCAACCAACCAAATAATACATCTAACCAAAACTAAATGAAACAAAAGAGGAAACTCCTGTATGTAAAAATTAGAATATAGATGACCATGAGAACAAAAATTTCCACATCCGATCTTTTCACCTGGATTTTGTTTGTTGTTTTTTTTTCAAGACAGGGTTACTCTGTGTAATATTGCCTGGCTATCCTGAAACTCACTCTGTAGACCAGGCTAGCCTGGAATTCACAGAGGTCCATCTGACTCGGCCTCCTTTTGCTGGGATTAAAGGCATGCACCGCCTCCCATTGAATTTTTACTTTTTGGATGTTATGTTCATTAGTGTTTTTGCATATTCCTTTTTTCTAATTGTTTTCATTTTCTGAGACAGTGTTAGAATATAGCTCATTCTGTTACACTGTATAACTGTATAGCTGAGGCTGTCCTCAAACTCATGACCTTCCTGCCTGCGCCTCCTAAGTGCTGGGATTACAAGTGGGTACCCCTACACTTGACTCCCTTGTACATTTACATGGAAAATTTCCATATCTGGTGTGGAAGTAACCATAAATAATGTAATGTGAATAATCATACTAAAAGGTGTATGTATGTATGCATACACACATAGACATATGTTTTAACTTATAATATTTTAAATATAATTTTTAATTTAAATTAGAAACAAGCTTGCTTCACATGTCAATCCCAGCTCTCTCTTCCTCCCCTCCTCCCTTGCCCCTCCTCCAGCACCACAGCCCCCAACCCAATTCCCACAATGTTTCCCAGGGAGCATGAGGCCCTCCATGGGGGATCTCCAGAGTCTGTTATTTCATCCAGGGCAGGGCCTAAGCTCTCCCCCACATGTCCAGGCTGAGAGAGGTTCCCTTCATGTGGAATGGGCTCCCAAATTTTATTCATACACCATGGTAAATATCAATCTACTGCCCAAGGCCCCAGAGATTGCAGAGGCCTCATCACTGACACCACATTCAGGGGGTCTGGACCAGTCCCCTGCTGGCCTCTCAACCATCAGTCTGGGGTCCAAGAGTTCACCCTTGTCAGGTCAGCTGTCTCTGTGGGTTTCACCATCATGGTCTTGACCCCTTGCTCGTCACTCCACCCTCTCTGTCACTGGGTTCCAGGAGTTCAGTTCAGTGTTTAGCTGTGGGTATCTACCTTTCCCTCTGCTTCCATCACACATGCACACACACACACACACACACACAAACACACACACACACATACACACACCACACACACACACAGACACAATATTTACAACTTTTTTTACTTTAAATTCTGGCATAAGGAAAATCTTGATGTGTGTGAGATTATTTAAAACATGAATTAGTGGGTTCATCTTGAACCTAAACAGTGCTGTGATACACTGAATTTGTGAAGATATGCTATTATCACATAATTTGTAAAATCCTTGTGGGCTCGCTGTAAGCAAGCTGACAAGGCTGATATGATTGTTGGGAACTGAACTCAGGACCTCTTGGAGAATAGTGCATGGTATTGACCACTGAGAAGTTGTTCCAACTCCTTGTTTAGGTACTTATTTGCACTTCTTCATGGTTTTTTGTTGTTGTCGATTTTGCTATAAGAATTCTCTGTGTAACAGTCCAGACTATTCTGGAACTCACTATGTACACCAGGCTGGCCTCAAACCTGGAGATCTTTATGCTTTGCTGCACATTTTAAAAATAAGATTTTGACATTGCTGCATTGTTTTCCCTTTCCATTTTTAGTTTTGAGACTTGAATGCTGTGTAGATTATGGTGACTTCTTTGTTTTCTGCCCTTTCTTTCTTCATAAACAATATCTTTCTGTTGTCTTTAGCTCTCTGATATTATGTGGAGATGTGTCACATAGTGTTTCTTTCATATGTAGGGCACTTTCATTCTGGAAACGCTTGGTTCTCTGGGTTACTAGAATTATTCATTGTGATAATACAAAGTTTTTATTTGATGATTATTTCATTTAATCCTGGCTACCCTGGAACTCCCTATGCAGATCAGGCTGACCTTGAACTCACAGAATTCCAACTGCCTCTGCCTCCTGAGCACTGAGATAAAAGGTGTGTGTCCCTGGGATTGGCCAGGTTGCATCTTGTTGAGCTGGCTTTCCTTAAGTCCCATTAGAAAGTGGTTGGTTACTTTCATAACATTTATGCCACTCCTGTTCCTGGAGGCATATCTTACCCGTGTTTAGTATTGTAGTTTGCATGGTTCACAGGTGACATTGATGACTACTTTTTTCCTCTGTTGCATGCATAAC